GTAGGTCTCGTACAACACTTTGTTGCCTTTTGTGTTCAGCGGGAACTCAAAGGGGATCTCGGTCTTGCCTGCCGGGACTTTTCCTGCCTTGGCCACCTCGATGTTACTGCTGATCAGCTGGATGGGCTGCAACATGACAAATGATTGGTCTGATTAATATTAGCAAACGTTTATTTACAGAAATCCTAAATGTCAATATCAACTGTTCCTTCCTGCAAACTCTGACTATTTAACAAAGACAAACTGCAGTTTATGTCTGACTTTTATAACTGACATGTGGGTTTGTCACTGTCCAATTCATGTGATGCTGAAGCTAAACACCTGCTAATTATTATTAACAATTCCCATGATTATTTTCTACCTTTACAGGTTGACAAGAGCACCCGAACACAGCTTTGTTAACCTCTTTTGCCATATTTATCCTTAAAAACAAAATGAGGGAAGACGGCTTCTGAAATGGGACACATGTTTCTGACATATTTATTTAAGTATTTCCATTTGAGGTGAAACAACATTCAGTCATTTATCAAGCAAAAGTATAAACATGCTCTGTTTCCAGTTTCTTAAAGGGGAAAATTGCTTGATTATGTTTGTCTAATATGATTTGAAATTGAACATTTTCAGGTTTTGTTTGGACCAGTCAAGACGTCAAAAAATTAGACAGCTATTTTTCACTTTTCTTTTTAGACAAAATGATAAATACAGAATAATATTGTATATTATTATAATATTTATTAATAATTGTTAGTCTCAGCACTAACATCCACACTTGACTCAATGTGTCTTGAAACTGTTAAATTTTAAGGATTGCGGCTGTAAGCAGCAATTATTTTCATTATCAATTAATATGTTGATGATCTTTCAAATTCATTATTTATCATCACTAGTTCCCAGAGCCCAGTTTGAGGTCTTCAAACATTTTTCTTTTGTCCAACCAAAATCCAAAAGATATTCAGTTTACAATTATATAAAAAATAGTCACATTTCACATGGAGGAGAAGCTGAAACCAGAGAATTTATGCTTTGCTATTCTGTCTTTATTTATCAAATTTCTCTGTGAGGATGAGTGAGGCATGATCTAGTCTTTAGACTGCAGGCCTTCTGACCAACTATTTAAATTATTATATGTGGATCATAGTTCACCTTGACAGAGTTGTAGAAAGCCTCGAAGACGCCGACGCTCTTGGAGCTCAGCTGCAGGTTCACCAATCCCTCCATGTTCAGAGAGATGCCGTGGTGCTGCAGCGCCTCCTTACACACCAGCAAGATGACACCAGCCACTGCTTCCTGCACACAAAATAACACTGCTGAGGCCCTGACTACTGTCTTCCCCGCTATGAATACGTACGTGGTCAACAGTCACCATTTTAATATCTTAAACTCTGATGTTAGACCTGCTGCAGTGTTGGATTACATGTACAACTAATGCAGCACCAGCATCTGTACCAGTGCTACACTTTTAAGACCTGATAAAGAATTTCAGCTACATTTTCACTCTCTCTCAGCAGTGCATCTGAGGGCAGCCCAATTTAAATAAAAGTGAAAATACCCCGACACACTGTCATTTACTGCTGGTGCTTTTTATTTTACCTTAAGAGTGTTTTGTTGTTGTCTTAGTTTTTTTCCCCCACTATTGTGAAACCAGGACAGGACAAAAGAGTCATGATTGTGTTGAGCGGTAGCTGTGCCCCCCTCGTACTGAGGGAGTACCAAGCCGATTGGCAGTAACAGAGCGTACTAGCCCCTGCTGACATGTAGGCACACCAGCCAGGAGCAGGTTGCAAAATGACAAGAGTCTGAACCAGAACATGCGCTGCCTCCTGGGTGAGGAACAGACGCGTCGTCATAATGTTGGGAAGGATGAATCTGCAGGAGCAGGTTCTTGCAGGAATTATGCCGCATTCGAGACAGAAGAAGAGGTCAGAACTGGGATTTTTCCCAGTTGAAACTTCTGACTTCCGACCTCAAAGCATTCCAGGTGCATGGTGGTGAATTATGCCAAATGTGAACGAAAACCATGGCTGACCGTGACAAAGTACACACAGTTGCACCCTCACATATTCCGAGTTCACAAGTAGAAAATCCCTGATAATTTTTGTAGTTGGAGGAGATCGGAAATTTCCGAGTTCCAAGTTGCCTGGAACGCAGCATTAGTACGATACCCAGACCGATACTGTAGTCAGATATTGATATTTGGGAGTTCAGCAAAAGAAAAACAAAAATCAGATAAGTAGGAGTTTAGGAGATATGGAGGAATTTTTTAACATAAAGACATCAAAAACAAACAATTAAACCATTTAATGGTGACACTGTTTCTAAATAATCTCAAAACTAGTTTGCCATTTCTGTACTGAAGCTTCTTGTTAATTATAACTAGACAATTTATCTGTAGAGCTCCAATTAGTAATAAAGATTTATAGCAGTATCCTGCTCCTGAAGCTTGCGGATGACCCCACCCTCACTGGGCTCATCTTTCGTGGGGATGAGTCAGCCTACAGGTGGTTGACTGACCAGGTGGTGGACTGACCATCTGGTGAACTGGTGTAGCCAGAACTACCTGGAGCTCAACGCTCTGAACAAAGTAGAGATGGCTCAGGAAGAGCCCAACCCCACCTACCCCCATCACCCAGTGCCCATCCTGGGCTCAATCATCACCGGGACACATGTAAACAATTAAATGTCGTATTGCACATAGTCTTTGTTATTATTCTATAACTTGTGTATTTCCTCAGTTTCATATTTTTATATGTTTAACGTTAGGTCAATAAAGCAAATTCCTTGTATGTGTAAAACTACTTGGCAATAAAGCTGTGTCTGATTCTGAAGAAGTCTCAGATGTATCGGTAGCTGCCAGTGAAAATGTTTTTATCATGTTCGATCACTGATTGATTTTACCTACCTACACTTTTACAGTAGCGATAACAGCCAATTCACCTGTCAGTTTTTGTCAGTCCATCAGTGTTTTTAGGCTGTAGCTGATCTTCGAGTGGCACAGAATCTGACAGGGTAACAGATTTTGGTGTAACACCTTGCTAATCAGCTGCTGGTCATGTGCGGAGAAGACAACGCCTCCTAGCTAGCTAGCGTCTTTATAAAACACACTATTTTACTGACAGTTAAAAGTTAGTAAATACCAAGACAGAAAGGTTAACGTTAATGCTAGCTGACACAGGCCATAGTAGTAACGTTAGCTTGTTAGCTGGTAGTGGTTCACGTAACGTTATACTTACCCCTTCATGGTAAACTTTGTTTGCTCTTTTCAGTCTTATATCCAAAGTGACGCTCATCTCTGACCATCACACATCAGGCAGACATTTAAATAATTGGTTCCAGGCTATGTCGTTTTAAAACAACACACAATCAACAAACAAAAGTGTTTTTTAACGTCTGTTACTCTCCTAGCTTGTGTTCCACTCGGCAGCGAGACGGCTTCCGGTCTAAATACTTCAGAATAAAAGTGGCATCAGTCTGTCTTTCTTGAAGGCTTCCGGCATGAATCCGTCAAAGTAAAAGCGTCGACCTGACTATAACACTTGATGGAGTCTGGCCATGCAACTACTTTAAGTTTTGTGCGCTCTCTGTCCTTGAGATTTCTGCCATCCCAACCCAATGGGGCTGCTCAAAGCAAAAATTGACATTACCCCCTGCAACAGGGAAAGTAGCCTATGTCCTTTACAACCTTTTGTGAAAAATAATCCACAGATCTCACTGTGAATAGTTTTACCTGTTAACAGTGTATTTTTTTAATGTAGTTTGGGTAGAAGCGAACATGTCAAAACCAATTCAGTCAATACCAAGACAATTTGCATGACCAGATACCATTAGGTAGGAGGTAAATATATTTTTTTGTTTTTTTTATGTTACACGGGTAAACCACACCTTTAAAATTTACATGTAGTTGGCCGACATTGTATATTAATACGTCTGCTGGTCTGCAAAGAAACTAACTCTACGTGCCATGGCCTTAAAGTCAGCCAATTGTGACATCTTGAGATTGATTTGATTGTTAATGCACTAAATAAATGTAAACATTTCCCACCTTTTACCTGTAAAGTCAGCAGTTTGCTGTAAAGGTTTGACATCTTGAAGAACTCAGTGAAAAACTTGACATTAGCGTTTTTATGTTTACATACATAAGAATATGTGGTTCAATGATAACAAAGGAAAATTATACCAGGTCTGGGATAATTTTTTGAAAGATATAAAAAATGGAAATAGGTGGGTGGTGATGAGACAGTGGATAAGACACATGCCTTTGGTAAGAGAGACCCGGGTTCAATTCCCACTGTGACACATCCACTAATGTGTTCCTGAGCAAGACACTTAACCCCTAGTTGTGTTGTGAGGTGTGTGACCTCTGACATATATAGCAATTGTAAGTCGCTTTAGACAAAAGCGTCAGCTAAATGAATAAATGTAATGTAATGTAAAGGTAACTATAACACGTAAGAGGAGGAAGACTTTTTTTTTTAACATCCTTTATTCATTCATAGTTGGGGATATATGGTATTATTTCTTTTGTATCAAATGATGATGTGTTTTAATTTTTTCTATTTAACATGTTTGTATGGATTATATTGAAGTGTTTGTTTTTTCATATGTTTGATTAATCCAACATTTAAATAAAAACTTAAATGACAAAATTTTCATTGGTCTATGTAAGATGCAACCTTTAGTCCTGACGTTGATCAAAATGTTACCTCTGAATGTAAAACGATCAGTTGTGCTTTAGATTAAAAGATTGTTTTGACCTGATTACACTGAAGCTCACTGGATGCTCTTCACTGTTGCCACAACATAAGCTGACAGCTAAAGATAACTGAGACGGAAGAGATGGTGGCTGAACCTGTTTGTCCTTCAAACATCCCCATCTATTCATCTTTCTATCCATTCTTTATAACTCATTCACATACAGGTTGACTGGAACCTACACAGTATCCCAGCATGCCCTAGGAGACACTCATTATCTGTTTTTGCAAAAAGTGACACACAACATTTCATTTTTATTTTTTAAATAATAAAGAAACCTTTATTTGCAAAGCAAAACCAATCACTTTTATTAGCCTTTTAATTCTACATCATATACCCATTTGTACCACCATACCCACTGTGTTATTACCATCATAATCTATTTGTTCTAATAACATAACAAAAAACGCTTCCATATGTTTCCAGGAATCACGTCATGCACATTCTGATTTCTTTTAAGAAAGGATATGGCATTCAAATAAAAAACAGAAACATCAGCACCAGTGGATGTGTAATAGGCACATATACTCATATTGATCGTAGCATCAGATTTCTCTACTCCAGGTAAAGAGATCCTCTTAGTTTGAAATTTACACAAGATGCTGATACTGATGTTTTGGGATTGAAGCTGCTAGAAATGTATATTTAGTACTGATAATCAGTATCTTAGTCAGATATTTTGAGGGGAAATGCTTGTTCATTGAGTTACGTAGTCAGATGTAGAGTTTCATAGCCTACTAATTTCAGTTTCTGTGCGGGACAGTGATCAAATGTGTTACCTTAGCACAAAGACTAGAAACAGGGGGATACTGCTGGTTTATAGATCTGAAAATGAAAAGTACACCTTCCATCCATCAACTCCAAAGCTGTCTGATTACCTACACATTAAATCTTTGTCAGGGATGTGCACAGACCTTTTGAGGGGCTATTGCTGTAACCTGAAAAAAGGGCAAAAATCAAGTTTTGATTGCATTCAAATTTCCATTGATAAATAGATTTCTATGATAAACTTTTCTGTCTAAGGAATTTCCTAAGACAATAATGTAAAGATGGTGCAGGCAAAATGTTATCATTCTCATTCCATTTAATTTCTAAATAATTTCTCTAAAAAACTTCTTGGTTAGGTTTTAGGCACCAAAACGACTTGGTTAGGTTTTAGGCATGAAAAGTAGTTGGTTAGGTTTTAGGCACCAAAACAACCTGGTTAGGTTTTAGGCAGGAAAAGTCGTTGGTTAGGTTTTAGGCACCAAAACTGATTGGTTAGTTTAAGGCGCCAAAACAACTTGGTTAGTTTTTAAGCACCAAAACGACTTGGTTAGGATCTAGGCACCAAAATGACTTGGTTAGTTTTAGGCACCAAAATGACTTGGTTAGTTTTAGGCACCAAAATGACTTGGTTAGGTTTTAGGCACCAAAACGATTTGGTTAGGTTTAGGCACAAAAACAACTTAGTTTTATGCACCAAAATGACTTGGTTAGATTTTAGGCACCAAAACGACTTAGTTTTATGCACCAAAACGACTTGGTTAGGTTTTAGGCACCAAAACAATTTGGTTAGGTTTTAGGCACCAAAACAATTTGGTTAGGTTTTAGGCACCAAAACGATTTGGTTAGGTTTTAGGCACCAAAACGACTTGGTTAGGTTCTAGGCACCAAAACGACTTGGTTAGTTTTAGGCACCAAAACGATTTGGTTAGGTTTTAGGCACCAAAACGACTTGGTTAGGTTCTAGGCACCAAAACGACTTGGTTAGTTTTAGGCACCAAAACGATTTGGTTAGGTTTTAGGCACCAAAACGATTTGGTTAGGTTTTAGGCACCAAAACGACTTGGTTAGGTTTTAGGCACCAAAACGATTTGGTTAGGTTCTAGGCACCAAAACGACTTGGTTAGGTTTTAGGCACCAAAACGATTTGGTTAGGTTCTAGGCACCAAAACGACTTGGTTAGTTTTAGGCACAAAATGACCTGGTTAGATTTTAGGCACCAAAACAACTTAGTTTTATGCACCAAAACGACTTGGTTAGGTTTTAGGCACCAAAACGATTTGGTTAGGTTTTAGGCACCAAAACGATTTGGTTAGGTTCTAGGCACCAAAACGACTTGGTTAGTTTTAGGCACAAAATAACCTGGTTAGATTTTAGGCACCAAAACAACTTAGTTTTATGCACCAAAACGACTTGGTTAGGTTTTAGGCACCAAAACGACTTGGTTAGGATTAGATACAAAAACAACTTGGTTAGTTTTAGGCACAAAACGACCTGGTTAGATTTTAGGCACCAAAACAACTTAGTTTTATGCACCAAAACGACTTGGTTAGGTTTTAGGCACCAAAACGATTTGGTTAGGTTCTAGGCACCAAAACGACTTGGTTAGTTTTAGGCACAAAATGACCTGGTTAGATTTTAGGCACCAAAACGACTTAGTTTTATGCACCAAAACGACTTGGTTAGGTTTTAGGCACCAAAACGATTTGGTTAGGTTTTAGGCACCAAAACGATTTGGTTAGGTTCTAGGCACCAAAACGACTTGGTTAGTTTTAGGCACAAAATAACCTGGTTAGATTTTATGCACCAAAACAACTTAGTTTTATGCACCAAAACGACTTGGTTAGGTTTTAGGCACCAAAACGACTTGGTTAGGATTAGATACAAAAACAACTTGGTTAGTTTTAGGCACAAAACGACCTGGTTAGATTTTAGGCACCAATACGACTTGGTTAGTTTTAGGCACCAAAATGACTTGGTTAGGTTTTAGGCACCAAAACGATTTGGTTAGGTTTAGGCACAAAAACAACTTGGTTAGTTTTAGGCACAAAACGACCTGGTTAGATTTTATGCACCAAAACGACTTAGTTTTATGCACCAAAACGACTTGGTTAGGTTTTAGGCACCAAAACAATTTAGTTAGGTTTTAGGCACCAAAACGATTTGGTTAGGTTTTAGGCACCAAAACGATTTGGTTAGGTACTAGGCACCAAAACGACTTGGTTAGGTTTAGGCACAAAAACAACTTGGTTAGTTTTAGGCACAAAACGACCTGGTTAGATTTTATGCACCAAAACGACTTGGTTAGGTTTTAGGCACCAAAACAATTTGGTTAGGTTTTAGGCACCAAAACGATTTGGTTAGGTTTTAGGCACCAAAATGACCTGGTTAGATTTTAGGCACCAAAACAACTTAGTTTTATGCACCAAAACGACTTGGTTAGGTTTTAGGCACCAAAACAACTTAGTTTTAGGCACCAAAACGACTTGGTTAGGATTAGGTACAAAAAATATTTGGTTAGATTTTAGGCACAAAAACAACTTGGTTAGGTTTAGGCATAAAAACAACTTGGTTAGATTTTAGGCACAAAATCAACTTGGTTGGGTTTAAGTACAAAAAACAACTTGGTTAGGTTTTAGGTACAAAAACTATTTGGTTAGGTTTTAGGTACAAAAACAACTTGGTTAGGATTAGATACAAAAACTATTTGGTTAGGTTTTAGGCACAAAAACAACTTGGTTGGGTTTTAAGCACAAAACTGCTTAGTTAGGTGTTAGGCACAAAAATGACTTAGTTATGTTTAAGACAAGATCATAGTTTAGGTTAAAATCATTGACTGTATAAAACGCTAAAATACGTACGTTAATCCAGGAAGTTATCTCAGGGGGTATGTCATGCCGTAAAGTGGGCGTGCTACAGTGTCACAAGACAGAGGGCATCGGGTTGCCCAGTCTCTGTGTCCTGCAGAGGCATGCCTATCAAAAAGTAATAAAGGTTTGGATGATATGGCTATTTAATTTAGTCTAACTTTAGCAATTAAGAACTACTCATATTTATGCAACCACTAAAGCATAAAATAAATAAATGCAAATTCCCTCCAGACGGGCAGCTCAGCCAAAGAGGACACGTGTCCTCTATTCTTTTTTAAAGTCCTGCTCCAGTAATAGCTTCTCTGTGTCATTACTGAGGAAGGCTGCATCATTGCTAACTTGTACCTTGTCAAAAAAGTTGAAATCTGCCACATAACGGCCACCTGTGGTGGTGAACAGCACCGGCTTGAACTCGTAACCCCAGAGGATCTCCTGAGGAAGGTAGGAGGTGCGGCTCTGGCACGTGGCTGCCGTCGACTCCATGGTGGCATTGAGGGTGACCAGCAGCTCAAACTCACGAGTGTGCAAGTTTTCTGCATTCAGTCCTGCGAGCGGGCTGTTCTCGTCCAGAACATGGTAGAAGGTGAGCGGTAGAATGAGGAAAGGGCACTCTCCACTGGAGTCAATGTTGAAATCCACAGAGCTCTGGTGGACTTGTGTCTTCTCACCCTCCTGTGTCACATTGGACTGGAGGAGCTTTCCCGTTAGCTGGCACTGGATCAGAAGGCTCTTCCTCATGTTAGCCACTCTCACCATCAGACACAGCTTGCCTAGGTGCCAGCAGATCACCGCCGACTGGCTGAACTTGATGGTCTCTGCTCGTTTCTTGGGCCGAGCCAGTTTGGCTAGAAAGGCGCCAGTGATAAAGATCTCAGCCAGGCCGGTGATCACAATCTGAGCCACCAGAGTGAAGATAGCCAGGGGACATTCCTCTGAGATATGACGGAAACCATAGCCAATGGTGGTCTGCGATTCAAGAGAGAACAGGAAGGCTCCAGTGAGCGTCTCCACGTTTGTCACACAGTGTGTGTGGTTGGAATACCAACCGGTCCCAACGTCTCCGTTGCTCATGAGAATGAAGTAATAGATGACCCCAAAAATGAACCAAGTTATGACAAAGGTGGAGGTAAACAGAGTGAGTTTGTAGCGCCATTTCATGTCCACCACAGTGGTCCAGATGTCATGCAGGTACATCTTCACCATGCCCTCTACGTTCTCAATCCGCACATTGTTGTGGCCGTCCTTGGACACAATCCGTCGCTGGACCTCTGCCTTCCTAGCGGCCATGTTGCGCTGCATCAATTAAAGCTGATTGTGACTTTTGATGTTTCAGAATGACACTGTCAAATGGAGGGACTGACAAAAGACCAAGGCAGATATGATTAATATCTCAAATGTAATTTTTAAATGCTGTGATCAACACAAATTTAATTTCCATTCACCATGAGAAGTCTGATGTTGAGCAAGTTTCAACCCTCTACAAGTTGTTTTTTATATCATGTGTAAAAAAAAAGTGGACATTAATGACTGCCTGGAAATAGGAACAAAAGAATTACCAGTGGTGCAAGAAGTACTCAAATCCTAAATGTAGCAATACCAAAATGGAGAAGTACTTAATTACAAGCAGAAGTCTTATGAAGACTGATTCCTTTAGTGTTATAGAGATGTGTTGTAAACAGTATTTTAAAGCTGCTACTACTTCATAATAGTGTGGGTGAGTTTTACTTACTGAAGTGCTAGTTACTGTTACATGTAAAAACAAACTATTATTCTCAGTGTTGGATATTTTCATGCAATTATACAGGCTGAAAGAAGTATTTGAACACTGTCTTATATCAAATGTAAAACCTTAAATCTAGTTTCAGCAGCTGTCAGTTAAATACAGAGATTTAATATATAAGTATTCATAAATGTAGTGCAAATGGAAATACTTTATATGAGTAAATATAATAAGGCTAAAACATACAAAATCTTTGGTATGTTCCTTCAAAATTTATCAAGATTTATCCTCAGAAGGTGTCCAAAGTACATCAGAGAATTCAACACAATAACATCAAATAATGGTCTAAAAAAACCAATAAAAATGTCAGATTTAATTAATAATATTTCACTGAATTAAATGTACAGCAAATCATACATAACATACTGCTATTACAAACCGCTGCTACTTGTCATGGTTTATACAATGACAAAGTTCAAAGTTAACCTTGTAGTAAACCATTGCAGGAGCCCAAGAACACTTAAATAATCATTGATTGCTTGATAAATCTGAAATTGTGTATTATACTCACATCCTGCTGCGCTGCCTTGTTGAATAGTCTCAAGTGTTTGCCTTCACCCGCAATCTGTAAGATGAAGCTGCTAGAGAACATCTAGTTCAGTGTCTTCTTTCTCCTATTGTCCCGGGGTTGTGAGCACTGAACTTTGGCACAGTTGTATTCAGGGTAGAACAGAAATGGGAGACAAAGCCAAGGTGTAAAATCTGATCTGCAAGTGGTTGGGTTGGCTTTTATTCCTCCTCTTCCACCTCCCACAACCTGTCCATAAGTGGGAACAGCAACCCTGGACATTTGAAGTTTGTTTTGCTCCTAATAAGGTTGTTGTTGCTTTACACACACGCACGCATACACGCACGCACGCAGGCACACACACACACACACACACACACACATTTCCTGCTTCCAGTGTTTCTCTGAAGGGAATTATGGCTTCTTGGGACACTCAGTACAAATAAATGGTGGTCTGACTGATGTGTACTCGCAGCTGAAATTTGCAGTTGAAACAGTTTTAGTGTCTTAACACTATTAGTTTTTGAAGCTTTTGAGATGTTTTTATGTGACAGGAATAGCTGATGTTAAAGTGACAGACTGAAATAAGGTGATGTGGCAGTAAAAACAGAGGTGCTGAAAGACATTTAAGTTGAAGTGCTGAATGACATTCATGTAAGTTAATAAATAAGCACAAAGCACAAGCTGAGTGAAGACGAAGCTCAAACACTGAAAGGAGTTGAAGTGCGTGAACTAAAGGAAGTTTTAATGTCAGTTGAAGTGATAAAAGGAGCCAGAAATATCAGTTGAAGATTAAAAACTGAAAGCAGATGTCAGTTAGAAGGGAGACATCATATTAATACTATATAAACCCACACATTATACACTTTAAAACAATTTTACAATGACATGAATAAATTATGACTAAAAATATAAAATCTTAAGATGTGTAACCAGTGAAAGGAGTTGAAACGTCAGTTGATGTTAAAGTGCTGATATTGTAAGCAGGGATTCAGGCCTGCATTAAAACAACCTAGATGCCTGCACTTATTTAAGGTGCTGTTAAGACAACGAAATACAATCAATGAAGTCCAGTTGGAGTAACAGATTAACACTTTTAAGGTCTTATCAAATATCAAAATGCTGCACAACATAACGCCAGCAACAACATGGTCAAAACAATTGTGCACTTTGCGTTAGTGCAGTCAGGTGAACTGAAAGTAGATAAAATGAAGTGATAAAAGACATCTGATAAATTAAAACCTGGAAGAGGTTAGCGTCAGATACAATGTAAAAACTGAAAGATGTCATTTAAAATGACGTTAGAAATGTAATGCAATAAAAGGAGTTGAAGTGTTGACTGAAGTGTAAGAGCTGAAAGCAGTTTAATGGTCACTTCCGATGTAAAAATCTGTTGAAGTGTCATTTGAATGTGTCAGTCGCGATATGTGTGATAGTGTCAGTTGAGATGAAAAGCAGCTCAAACCGAGAAGCATGAATGGAAATGCGGTGTTCAAGCACTGAGTGATGCTGAAGAGCCAGTTAAAGTCACGCTGGGAATTTTTTACAGTACATGTTGAATGTTTCTTTAAATCTTGACACGTGGTTGTTAAACTTTATGACCTTGAATCACACTCCTTAGCTTTGTCATTAACCTTATTGTTACTACCCTCATTCCCAAAGGTGTGTGTGTGTCTTACTAAGAGATCACAAATTGATTTTCCTGGTTGCAGCACTCAAGAGTAACAGCGTGTTCAGTCAAGCATCAATGCACAGAAATTGAGACAATGAAGAATACATACTTTACACTTTGCTCTCTGTTTCCTGTTGATCTTAATCACACGTGAAAGATGGAGGTACAGAAGCAACCAAATAAGTTGGGTGCAACAGCTTCCCATTTTAATCTAAGGATAGGAGGCACTGCAAAACACCAGACTATCGAGAGAACAACAACAGACCATCGTAAAAATCAATAATAATGCCAGTACGTTTGCTGTCTGGTAGGTGAAATTAAGGTACAATATCAAAAACGTTGATTCATGCAGGTTGAACTTGTTCATAAAGTGGTTGTCATGAATGTGACAGGAACCCACCTTTTATGTGTACATATTTTGGAGAACATCAATGAAATGTTTAATGTAAACTCAAAGTATTACTTGTCAGCAGTTTGTGTTTACAGGGGCGCTCCATCCATTGTGCACATTGTTCAGTTTACTAACTCTGGGAGAAAACTTTTCGCCCAGTTATATAAAGTCTTCCAGGGTTCTGAGGGGGCTTTCAAAAGGGTATGCCAAATTGAGTCGGACCTTGGATTTTGAATTAAATCCTAAATTTGACAGGAAGCCAGCGTGATGAAGCCAGCATCTGGGGTTAGATAGAGTCTTAGTTAGCAACATCATTTTGAACATATTGTAAACATGCTGTCTCTCTTTGGGCCTTTCTCATTTCCCAAATATGTGCCTCCTCGATCCTCAAGGCTGTGACCCGGAAATTGATCTCAATGCGCCATCGTGAAGGACATCTCAACTCCTAAAATGCACCTCAAGGAGTGAGGATCGAGGATGCACAAATTTGGGAAATGTGAAAGGCCCTCTGTCTCATCTGTAGTTTGACACAATAACATGTATTGTTGAATAAACAGTCCAATAAGGGCCATCTCTGTTGGTTTGCCTTTGCTCCAAGCTGTAAAACAGTCATTGATGTGGTGGTTTAAGCATGATGATGGAGTCCAGCCCCATCTAGTGGACACAAACACAATACTATGCATATTGCTTAAAAATCTACCTGGAGGATTTTCTCTTGGAGGCTGCCAGTCAGATTTCCTTATCTGATCTGAGTTATATGAAGAAATGAATGCTTCACTATACCTCTACATCAGTGACACGTAAATATCATAACATTATAAATAATAACATTCAATACAGAATGACAAACAGCCAGTTTGTTATCTTTATTTACAGAAAAACATCAGGTGTGTCCGGCGAAGTAGTGCACATACACCTGATGCAGAATATCTGGCAACACTTGCGTCTCCCTATTTCACATTTTTAAGTAGTTTACAAACATTTAATTACGGTGACATAAGGTGTATAACACACTATAATGTATTTGTACGCAGATATAACTTTTAAAAAAGGTTTTTATTAATTTACAGTATTTGTTAACAATTCAATTCTCCTCTTTCCGCATATTTTATATTATTTAAACTTTTTTATGTTGTCATTTATGATATGTTCAAACAGCAGCCTCCACTTGCTCACAGGATGAGTTATAGTTGTTGATAAATATATTAATAAGCACTTATATCTGTTTACAACTACATTAAAGTGATAGCTATGACCATTTATTAAAACCTTCATATTCTGCTTATAAATGGTAAATGGGGGGGACTTACAGTAAAATATTGCCAAAGAATTAATTCCTGACACTCAACTTCAGCCTCTGTTTTAATCGTTACTTTAATTCACCGCTGCTGACCGTTATTATTCACAACAGTACGTCCACGTTAAGTCCATCTTTTCCTCTCCGTCCACGACGACTATGATGGCATTTAAAATGAATGATCACAGAGAACTCTTCTTAACTTTACTACCACATAGCCCCGTACCCTCACTTGGAGGCTTACGTCATCATTTACAAGATTTACACACAAAAGCTCTGTTTTGTGGAGAAAAAAATGCTGTTTTAGTCGGTATGGACAGGTGAAACAGAGGAAAAGATGTGCTTGCTGTACTAACGCAGGCTTACTGTTAAAAAGTTACACTGAATATTCTGCATCCAAGGTCTTCTTATCAACTGGCTAGGCCGAAGAGACAATCACACAGCTCTCTCTCACACAGGCTGCCTCTGACACTGATTTAACATGCTCAAACTGCCAAACAATTGCTGACAAGGGACAACAAGAGCCAACGGGCAAGAGCCAACGGGCAAGAGTCAGTCACAGGCGCTCAACGACGGCCCAGTGGAACCTGACAACAGACTGATGACTTGGTGTGTTGGTAAGCCTCCTGGAAGCCATTCACTTTGTTCACATGAAAAGTGACAGAGAGAACTGTATCACGCCAGTCGCTACGTGAATGTCAGCTAGTTGGTTTCAGAAAGTTACAGATATTGTCAGACACTGTTAAAATGTTAGGGGTTTCCTAAGTCTGACAGGCACTTCTGAAGAAGTATGTTGGCCACTTAAAGCTCTGCTAACGGCTGCAGGGGGCTACAATGTCCATTTCAGCCTACAATACCCAAAACGTGTTTGAACGAATGCCATACTGATGATTTTAAAGTTTAGTTTGGATGGGACTACAGAACGGGTTCTTCCTCTGGGGAGCATGAACGTGTGAAGTAAATTTGTTTGAATTATTCTCAAAATCAACAATCTAAATGAATGGGATTCAATCTGTGGACTGTGAATATCCACAGCACATTTAGTTTAGTTTAGTTATTAATTAATTATTATTTCTAACATGCTTGTCATGGACGAAAGTGTTGATCAGGTCAGATTTTGACCTGATGAGGGCTGAAGAGGTTTAGGGGTATTTAGGTATACGAGTAGGTATAAATAAATAAGAGTGGGTCCAGGAAGGTGAAGGTGTGGGGCAGGTTCATTGTGGTGGAGGATTAGCAGTGGTGGCTTTCAAGATGCCTCGCAGCACCTTGTAGTTGTTGAGTGGTTGGTTCTCTTTGGGGGGGTAACAGGGGCCGTTATCTGTTGCGTAGGAATAAGGGAACCGCAGCACCCAAAGACCGTCAGGCGGTAACACTAAATCCGTCTTCTCTGGATGGAAAATTGGGCAGGGAGGAGGACCAGGCTGTACCTGAAAACACAGCAGAAGAGTCATAGTATCAGCTCTAATGTGACATTATTAAAAGTACATTCATTCATACGTCTCTTATTGAAACTAGCGATAGACTAGATTGGCAGTTTAATCGGACCGATACCTGCACTCACAAGGCCAATATATCATCCTAAAGGACAGCTAATCTAAACTAAAACCATTACTAGCTGGTGTTAAATATACATTATTTTACTATAGAGAATATTGTAGTTGAATGGCATCACTTCTGACAAACTGTAGCCACTCTCCCTTAAATGCCAGTCACATTCTGAAATCTACAGCAAAACCCAATGTATCTTTCTATTTCATTAATTAATAAAAAAATCCATCTAAAACAACACGGCTGAGATAATCATGTATATTATATCGCACTCTGCTCGGAATATTGGAATTATACATGACTTTTCTCTGTTTTGATATCAGAATTATATATCTGCTACTGAAAA